GCTAATACTTAAAAAAAAAACAAAAATAAAAACAAACCAAAAAACTTTCTGGTGGGTTTCTCAAAAGACAGTGAAGTACCGCACTTTCTTTATCTCAAGGCCAAAAAGAAAAAAAAAACAGCAATGAGAAAATTCAGTATTTTTTGAATAAAGAGCATTGGAAACTAAAATCAACATGCCAAAGGAAAAAGACTGTTACTTCACTGAAAATTCTAAGGTTAAACCTTTAATGACAAATTTAGTCAAAGCACATTCAAACTCAGGAAGTCAGCCAAATTACCCACCAGTTTCTCCAAAAGTCATAACTGCTCCCACCCAAATCAAACAAAAGCTCAGTCCTCCATGATTTATAAACAGGCACTTAAAGAAATGAAGAGCTTCTGTGATGATACGACCAAAGACATGTTCTAGAGCCAAACCCCTGGCAGGGCACACAGACAGCCAACTCTGAGGACTTAGCTCACCTTTGGAGGACAAAGGGCCATGGTTCCAGCTCTCAGAGGCAGGCACTGACAGGGAGGTTCTGGATCACAGACTGTTCCTTCAGGATCGTGGCCTGGGGGGAGGGGCAGAGGAGAGGAGAACATGTAGTCTGCGAGGAGTCAGGCTCTGGCTCTGCAGATCACAACTTTAATCCTACATTTCTAGAAAATTCGAGAACATTTCATCAGGATGTCAGATTTCCAATCAATGAAGTTTCCTGAGCTAAGACAATCAAAAAGCCCAAGCAGCATAAAGGCCTTTCTTCTCTTATCCTTAGTTCTGAGACTGCAACTCTATCCATTAGTCTCTTTTCTGCTCTCTCTTCAAGCTGACTGTGGGTTGGGGCACAGTCCTCTGAACCACCTTTCCCCTAACCCAAGCAGTACCTAGGCACCCCTGGAGTACACACACTGCTGGTGATAAATGGGCTGAGAACATCATGAACTAGTTACCAGCCCGTTCTTCAGCCCCATTTATGATGCTCTCAGTAGGGACCTAGGGGTTGCAGCATCTTAAGCATTCTGTGTTAAATGTAGGTGGTGGCACAGGGCACCCCGGGGGTCTCCAGAGCTGTCATCCATATTGATGAGCAGAGCAGGAAGGAGAAGTTCAAGCTTCTGGTAGAAGGTGACAACCTTTGGGCAGTCATGGCCACCAATAGTGTGAAAGGCACTCAGATGACTTCCAATAACGCCTATGAGGTACCATTGCTTCTGGACCCTCAGCCAATACCCAGCAGTTTTCTGACCC